AGAAAACTTTCACAGAGGCAACATTTACAATATAACATAAACACATATGTAACTCACTTACTTCTTCTTTTCTTCTCAAGCTTTTTGGCTCTCTTGGCAGCCCTTCGTGCCTTTTCCTCTTTTTCTTGTTCCTCTCGGCACCGATGGAAATTTTCCACCACAACCCCCACAAACATGTTTAGCACAAAGAATCCCACCAACAGCAGGAAGGAGATGAAGTACAAGAGCCGCCACTGAGAGTAGTTTTCTATTGGCTGAAACAAATACCGTAAATCAATGTACAGCACTACATGATTCAATTTTACTGCAGTATACAGTGTACAATATATTATATTTGGAAGTACTGTATAAAACAGTACGAAACAGAATATCTGCAATTAAGATTCTCACTGAACAAATGAGACAGTAAAAGCAACTATTTCAATGTTATATCAGTGTTGCTGATTTTCTTTAGTAATAAGAGAAAAAGAGTAAAGCTCCACCATCCACATAGTTGTTAGTTTGCAATTTTGAGTATTGTCTGCCATTTGCAATGCAGGCCCCTGAATAATTGCAGTTGAGAAGCGGAACAGAATTCTTCCTCCATAAGACATGCATGTCATAAGAGGCGACTAAAATGCCAGGAGCAAGGGGCTAATAACCCCTTCTCCTGTATACATTACTAAAGTTAAAAAGAGAAACTTTTGTTTTTCTTTTTTTGGCCACCCTGCTTAGGTGGGATACAGCCGGTGAATTGAATGAAAAAAGAAGAAGAGACTAGTTCATAATGTATTATAGCTTACATTGTAGACTACACAAATTTTCAAGTTAATAAAAAGTATAAAAACTATCATAAATATTACTCAACATAAGTGGTAGCACTCAATACTACCTTTTTGTTAATCAAGTGAGGATGACATGGTAATTTAATGAGGAAAAGGACATGTGAGCAAACATTTAAGGCAGTTTGAAGGAAATGTTATGGTCCTTGAACCGAAGTGTGTATCATTGTAATGAACAAAGTCCCAGAACCAAAACATTTCCATTAAAATGTCTAAAATGTTTGCTCATTTGACCTTTTCCTGGCTGTTACCACCTCATTTAAGGCAAATTCATAAATAAATATTTTTAAATTAAATTAAATTTGCTTCATTTCAAACACCTTGTACAGTTTCTTAAGACAGTTTACATAAGAATAAGATTTATTTACATACACTACTTACTTGCTAGCCCTCTTACCCTCTTGCTCACTCACTAGCATAACCATTCCCTCCCTACTTTCTCTATTACTCTCACTGTAACTCTCATTCACACTCTCTTTTAACTGTCTTGCTCACTAACTATAATTCTCTCATCCCAGCTCTCTCTAATTCTCTCATTCACTCACACTCCATAACTCTAAGTCTCACTCACTCTTTTCTTTATTTTTTTTACATGGGGTTTTACAAGGTTAGGGTAAGGATTCTTAAATTTTATAAACAAGCTCATTTAAAAGCCTTTTTATTGTTGTGAAACATACAAGTATGGAACAGGATAAAATTGGAGCCATCTGTGGGCCAGCAATTTCAATTGACCAACTGACTATTTCACTGATATCATTGTGCTGTATGAACCTAGTTCCAGACTCAAATCATCATAGGCATAAATGATCTCAGATAAAGTGATGTTCTGGTGAAGAGTACAGTCTGAGTGAAGTTGCTGCTTGCAATTCACTCGCTCACACTCACTCACTCGCTTTCTTTCTCTCTTCTGGTGGATTTTCCATTTGCATTACATTGGACAGTTTTCTACAAAGAATTAAGGGCCATCTGAACAGTGATGTTAGTAATCTTCTGGCACGATAGTGACTGAATTAGTGATGGTGCAAGTGCTTTCTCTTTTTTGGGTCATCCTACCTCGGTAGGAGATGGCCAGAGCATAATATTTTTTAAATGTACAAATAAAAATTGGATTTGTATCTCCTTACCTGCATATCAACCCCTACAGCATCCAAGCCAGTATACATGATATTGACCCAGCCATCCTTGGAGGAAAGGACAAACAGAGACATAAGTGCCTGGCCAAGGTCATCAAAATTGTACTTTCGATTGAGCCAGAGATTCCCTGGAGTTTCAAGACAATCAGTCTTGGTGACGATGTTCTTGAGATTGAGTCCATCACAGTAATAGAAAGACCCCTTGAACAGCTGCAAGAAATATACATACTGATGAACTATGTATAATTGTATTATTATTGCAAACTGAAAAGAGATGAATCAGAATCTTTATTTCTGAAAAGCATACAAAGACTTTACAATGATTGACTTCACAGTACATTTGGTTACTGGTATGAAAAAATGTAATAAATGAGCAGTCATTAATAGAAGAAGAAATGTTTGCAGTACTTGTAAACCAAAACAATATAACTCAGGCACATAATATCACTGACTAATACTAACCTGAAGCTGCCCATATTTCATGATACAATAAAATAACTCAAAATATGTAAGGATATTGTGAGAGGAAACAATTCCAAAGATTAGCTCATAGACAAGTGAGCAAATACTTTTTATCTATGGAGGCAAAGAAGGGAATGTATGAAAGTATAGTAGTATAAACATTCTTATATGGTTGTGAAGCTTGGGTTGTAAATGCTGCAGCGAGGAGGCGGTGGAGATGTCCTGTCTAAGGGCAATGTGTGGTGTAAATATTATGCAGAAAATTCAGAGTGTGGAAATTAGGAGAAGGTGTGGAGTTAATAAAAGTATTAGTCAGAGGGCTGAAGAGGGGTTGTTGAGGTGGTTTGGTCATTTAGAGAGAATGGATCAAAGTAGAATGACATGGAGAGCATTTAAATCTGTAGGAGAAGGAAGGCGGGGTAGGGGTCATCCTCGAAAAGGTTGGAAGGAAGGGGTAAGGGAGGTTTTGTGGGCAAGGGGCTTGGACTTCCAGCAGGCGTGCATAAGCGTGTTTGATAGGAGTGAATGGAGACGAATAGTATTTGGGACCTGACGATCTGTTGGAATGTGAGCAGGGTATTATTTAGTGAAGGGATTCAGGGAAACCGGTTATTTTTATATAGCTGGACTTGAGTCCTGGAAATGGGAAGTACAATGCCTGCACTCTAAAGGAGGGGTTTTGGGATATTAGCAGTTTGGAGGGATATGTTGTGTATCTTAATACGTATATGCTTCTAAACTGTTGTGTTCTGAGCACCTCTGCAAAAACAGTGATTATGTGTGAGTGAGGTGAAAGTGTTGAATGATGATGACAGTATTTTCTTTTTGGGGATTTTCTTTCTTTTTGGGTCACCCTGCCTTGGTGGGAGACGGCTGACTTGTTGAAAAAAAAAAAAAAGAAATAAAATTTTCATTAACTTGTTAAAACATATGCTGAAAGTGTACATAAATATGTACCATACCTACTTGCATATGATCATGTGCATGGGTGTCCTCACTTATGTGTGGTTGCAGGGGTTGAGTTTTAGCTCCTAGCCCTGCCCTCAACTTGCCACCTCCACTTCATCAAATTCATTCCACTTCCTGACCACCCTGAGACTGACACCCCTGTGGCTCTTCGGTGTCTTTAACGTCCAGATATATCCCCGAATATACATTTCTTGCCTCTCGAACAACTTCTGTCTATCTACCCCATCATTTTCTCTGAGCATTTTATTATGTTATGCCTCCCCTAGTTCTTTGCTCCCTCAGTTTTTATTCTATGTCTGGTCTTCTGGACTCCTTTCCCAATATTCATAACCCTGTATTGCTGGGATGAACTCAGGCAATCACTTATCTGATCAATTTTGCAGTTTGTCCCGAGCCATTTGCAGCCTTTCCCAGTCCTTGTCTGTTGTTATTCTCATTAGTTTTAAATCATCAGCAAATAGGATTACATCTGATTTCACCTCATTTGATATGTCATTCACAACAACCAGAAACAGTACATTTTCCAATACCAATCCTTGTGGAACTCTGCTAGTTACTCTTCCTCATTCCAACATCACCTCCCTGATAATCACCTTTCACTTTCTTTGCTAAGTTGCTCTTGGATCCACCAAGTTTTTATCCCAACCTCTTGTGGGTTACAGTATCAAAAGCCTTCTTCTAGTCTAAGAAAATGCACCCTGTCTAACCCTCTCTCATCTCTCATATCTGATACTTTGTCATAAAACCCCAACAGGTTGACAAGGCAACATCTGCCATCTCTGAGCCCATGCTGGTTACTGATTTTAACCACTTCTTCATAAGTGTTCTACCACTCTCCTAATAATTTCCTTCATTATCTTGCATGGTATACACATCATAGAAACTAATGTGTAGCTGGCTTCCTGTTTATCTCATTTTTTAACTATAGAAGATGGTGATATAGTTTTGGAGTGGTTGGTGCACTTGTTTGATAAATGTATAAAATTTTATAGGAAAGGTACCTAAGGATTGTGGGATGCATACACAGTTCTTTTGTATATGGGAAAAGGGGATAAGAGAGAGTATAAGAATTATAGGAAAAGAAACATGTTTAGTATACCTGGTAAGGTGTATGGAAGAGTTATTACTGAAAGAATTAACAAAAAAAATTTAATTACAGATATACAAGGTTTTAGGAAGGGTAGGGGATGTGTAGACCAAGTGTTGACACTGAAGCACAGAAGTGAACAATACTTGGATAAAGGTAAGGAAGGTGTCGATAAACTTATGGATTTAAAAAAGGCATATGACAGGGTGCACAGGGAAGCAATATGGCAGATGTTGCAAGTGAATGGATTAAGTGATAAGTTACTTAAAGCAATTAAGAGTTTTTATGTGGCTAGTGAGGCACAGGTTAAGATATGCAGAAGAGAGGGAGAGTATTTTCCAGTAAAAGTAGGTCTGAAACAGGGGTGTCTAATGTCACCATGGTAATTAATAAATTTATTGAGTGGATTGTAAAAGAAGTGAATGCTAGGGTACTGGGGAGAGGTGTGGGATTAAAAGATAATGAATCTGATGCCAAGTGGGAGTTGCCAATTGCTTATTGTCAATGACATAGTTCTGTTGAGAGATTCTGAAAAGAAGTTGCAAGGTTGAAGTGTGAATTTGGGAAGATGAATATAAGAAAGAGCAAGGTGATGAAAGTAGCACTAATTTTAGGTAATGAAAGACTCGATATTATACTGGAAGGAGTGTGTGGAAGAAGTAAATGTGGTCAGATATTTGGAAGTGGACTTGTTGGCAGATGGGTCTATGAATGACAAGTTGAATCACAGAACTGATGAGGGAGAAAAAGGTAGGTGGTGCAGTGAGGCATCTGTGGAGACAAGGAACTATCCATGGAGGCAAAAAGGTAAATGTACGAGAGAATAGTGCTACTAACACACTTTTTATGGGTGTGAAGTATAGGTTTTAAACATTGCAGTACAGAGGAGGCAGGAGGAATTAGAACTGGTGTGTCTGAGGGTAATATTTGGTGTGAATATTATACAGAAAATTCATAGCTTGGAGACTAGACAAAGGTGTGGAGTTACTGACAGTATTATTCAGAGGAATGAGCAGGCTTTGTTAGAAGTGATTTTCACATTAAGAAACACTGGAGCAAAATAGGATGACTAGGAGGGTGTATAAATCAGAGATGGAGGGAAGGAGGTGTAGGGGTCATCCTAGGAAAGGTTTAAGAAAGGGGTACAGGAGGTTTTGCAAAGTACTTGGACATCCAACAGGCATGTGTGATCGTATTAGATAGGAGTCAATGGAGGCAAGAGGGTTTAAGAGTTAATGTGCTGTTGGAGTGTGAGCAAAGTAACATTTATGAAGGACTTCAGGGGAAACCGGTTAACCAAACTTGAGTGCCGGAGGCAGGAATGTACAGTGCCTTCACTTGAGGAGGAGGAGGAGGAGGAGGAGGAGGACGAGGAGGAGGAGGAGGACGACGACAACGACGAGGACGACGACGACGAGGACGAGGAGGAGGAGGACGATGACGAGGACGAGGAGGAGGAGGACGACGACGAGGACGACGACGAGGACGACGACGATGAGGACGACGACGACGAGGAGGACGACGATGAGGAGGAGGACGAGGAGGAGGACGACGATGACGAGGAGGAGGAGGAGGACGATGAGGACGACGACGAGGACGACGACTGAGGAAGAGGAGGACGACGAGGAAGAGAACAGAGAGAAGAGGAGGGGAGGATAGGGAGGACACGACAGGAGGACGATAGACGTTGAGAGATGGACGAGGGATGACTAGACGACAAAGACGAGATGAGGACGAGGAGGACGGAGGAGGACGTGAGGAGGCATACGACGAGGACATTGACGGGAGAGAGGAGGAGGAGGAAGAGGAGGACAAGGAGGGGGAAAAGGAGGAGGAGGGGAGGGACAAGAGATGGGATGAGGAAGGACGACAAGGAGGCGAGGAGGAGGGACATGAGGAGAGGGCGACGAGGAGGGTGAGGAAGGAGGGGGGAGGACGAGGAGAGAGGGAGGAGGAGGAGGAAGCGAGGAGGAGGAGGAACGAGGAGGAGGACGAGGAGATGGAGGACGAGGAGGAGGATGGACGAGGAGGAGGACGAGGAGGAGGACGAGGAGGAGGAGGACGAGGAGGAGAGGACGAGGAGGAGGAGGACGAGAGAGGAGGACGGAGGAGAGGAAGAACGAGGAGGAGGAGGACGAAGGAGGGGGAGGACGAGGAGGAGGAGGACGAGGAAGAGGACGAGGAGAGGAGACGAGAGGAGGACGAGAGAGGAGGAGGACGAGGAGACAAGGACGAGAGGAGTAAGGAGGACGAGGAGAGGACGAGGAGGAGGAGGACGATGAGGAGGAGGGCGAGGAGGAGGAGGAGATGAGGAGGAGGGGGAGGAGGAGGAGGACGAGGAGGAGGAGGGCGAGGAGGAGGAGGACGACAAGGAGGAGGGCGAGGAGGAGGATGATGAGGAGGAGGAGGACAGGAGGAAGGATGACGAGTAGGAGGAACGAGAGGAGGAGGGGGAGGACGAGGAGGAGGAGGACGAGGAGGAGGAGGACGAGGAGGAGAGGACGAGACGAGGGGGAGGAGACGGGGAGGAGGAGGACAGGAGGAGGAGAGGAGAGAGGAGGAGGAGGAGGAGGAGGACGAGGAGGAGGACGAGGAGGAGGAGACGAGGGGACAGGAGGAGGCAGGAGGACGAGGAGGAGGAGGACGAGGAGGAGGAGGACGAGGAGAGGAGGACGAAGAGGAGGAAGGAGGA